CACCCCGACCTGGTTTTTAGAACTAGGAATACAAAGGAAGGAATAGTGCCCCCGGAAGTGATTCCAGTACCGGGATCCCGTTAAGACAGTGAAAATGTGAAATAATTTGTTTTGTAATTGTGCTAAGAAAAAGTGACACAACAAAACACAGGAAAGAAAATTTTGAAGAATTCAAGTATAAAACAAAAATACAGGCCGAGTATCCCTGATCTGAAAATCAAAATCCTAAATGCTCCAAAACCCAAAACTTTTTCAGTGCTTACATGTCAAAGGAAATTCTCATTGAAGCATTTTGGATTTTGGCTTTTTAGATTAGGGACGTTCAACTGGTATGCATATAATGCAAATATTCCAAATTTTTTTTTAAAATCAGAAATCTGAAACATTTCTGGTCCCAAGCACTTCGGGTAAGGAATAGTATCCCTGAACTAAGAAATAAGCCTTGAATTCCCAATAACTATGCATGATTCATGTGAAGTGATCCATACAAAGATCATGACAGGAATATTTCAAGGACAAGCAAATAAAGATTCGGTTAAATAGCTTTACCTGTTCAATCTTCTAGTGTAATGCCGATTAATGCATATTTGAAAAAGTGACCATACTTGGTACATAATAAGCACTAGCTGATGAGCATCAGAAGGAAGCATACTTTTTCTTGAGTCTGATAGTCACTATACTTTAATCCAACATCTCTCTGGTGAAGCAACTGTGAATGATTACTGAAGTAATTAAAGATACTCAAGATAAAGTTCCAATAATCATCATAATTTTTCAAATCATATAATTATGAAAGATGGTAATAAGGTCTTTTTTTTTTTTTTTTTTGAGAGATGGAGTCTTGCTTTGTCACCCAGGCTGGAGTGCAGTGGCACCATCTTGGCTCACTGCAACCTCTGCCTCCTGGGTTCAAGTGGTTCTCCTGATTTAGCCTCCCAAGCAGCTGGGACTACAGGCACACACCACCACACCCAGCTAATTTTTGTGTTTTTTGGTAGAGATGGAGTTTCACTGTATGTTGGCCAGGCTGGTCTCAAACTCCTCATCTCAGGTGATCTGCCCACCCTGGCCTCCCAAAGTGCTGGGATTACAGGCATGAGCCACTGAGCCCAGCTGCTATTATGGTCTTTATGGTATAAAACGAAAGCTCAATGTGTGTATATAAAATCCACCAAGAGGCTGATAATGCACCTTTGAGTATGGCTGCTTTTGCTTATCCTGATAATATTGTTCACAGAAATTTTTGGAGTTGATAGGAAAGGCTTGGATAATCACACTGACTTTGAATAAATAAGATCATGTGGCCAGGCGTGGTGGCTCTTGCCTGTAATCCCAGCATTTTGGGAGGCCAAGGCGGGCAGATCACTGAAGCCCAAGAGTTCTAGACCAGCCTGAGCAATACAGGGAGACCATCTCTACAAAAGAAAAAAAGAAATTAGTTGAGCCTCATGGTGTGCACCTGTGGTCCCAGTTACTTGGAAGGCTGAGATGGGAGGATTGCTTGAGCTAGGCAAGTCAAAGCTGCAGTGAGCTATAATGGTGCTACTGTACTCCAGCCAGGATGACAAGAGTGAGACCCTGTCTCAAAAAGACCAACAAACAAAAAATGGTGTACTGCTGTTATTTCACTGAAGCTAAGATATAATTGATTGTAAGAAGCATAAGTTTATGTATCACTAAGAAAAAAAGACTGGTAACTGAACTACGATAGGCCACTGTTTATAAAAGCCATCCAATTTTGGATATGTTAAAATGTGAACTGCACTTCAGTCTGGGCAACAGAGTAAGCCCTTGTCTCAAAAAAAAAAAAAAAAAAAAAAAAAAGTGAAAATAGGTGCATCTCAGAACTGATCAAATATAATATCGTAACTACGATGAAAACATTCGACCCAAATCACCTTAGGAACTGAGGATTTGAAATTCACTCATAAATATTTAAACTTAGTATCTTCTATTTTCATTACTAATTGTAGCTGATGGGTTACATACCTATTCTATGATAAATATTTATTTATGAAGGGGGACTTTTAAGGGCTTGAAAAAAAGCTTTCATATTCAACTGAAGCATATATTTGTCTGGACACTCAGCTCTTCTGCAACCCAAGCTCAGCTCTGCTAGAGTCACACACATTATTCATTAATCTCAGAGATGCTATAATGAACAGGGAATAATAACCCATAGCCAAGTGAGTTAAACCTGGCAGGAAGCTAAGAAATACCTACTTAATAGAAAGGTTCCCTGGATTATAGCAACCTTTTAGCTGGAAAATGCTGAAATATTAAAAAAAGATATACTAGATATAATTCCAGATATTATACACTGGTTGTTACCCTTCTACCTGACAAGCATAAGAGATAATATGTGGCCAGTTGGCTGACTTCTTACATCTTTATTAGAAACACAGTTATAATAGGTTTAAAAGAATTTAGGTAGTTTCTGGTTGGTAATTCACTACTTTCTATGAGCCTTTTCAAGATATCTCATGTAATATCTTGAGATACCATATAATTAATTCTACATATACATAATACTGAGAAAAGGTAATACCATGGGCTTATAACAGTGTTTTAAGGCACAGGGAGATGATCTATAGTTTATGATACGATAGGAAGGGTGCTGAAAATGCAGATACTGATGACCGAAGAATAGACATTTTGGAAATTGGTTTTAGAATGTACTTGAAAATGTTAACAGCTGTTTTTAGTGACAGCTTTGAATATACATTTGAAATCTTTAAAATAAAAGTTTTATTCTTTTTTTTTTTTTTTTTTTTTGAGACAGAGTTTTGCTCTTGTTGCCCAGGCTGGAGTGTAATGGCGCGATCTCGGCTCACCGCAACCTCCGCCTCCTGGGTTCAGGCAATTCTCCTGCCTCAGCCTCCTGAGTAGCTGGGATTACAGGCACGCGCCACCATGCCCAGCTAATTTTTTGTATTTTTAGTAGAGGCGGGGTTTCACCCTGTTGACCGGGATGGTCTCGATCTCTTGACCTCGTGATCCACCCGCCTCAGCCTCCCAAAGTGCTGGGATTACAGGCTTGAGCCACCGCGCCCAGCTCTAAAAGTTTTATTCTTTACTTAAAAACAAATCTATACAGTTTGAGTTGTGGCAAAACAGGTAATAAAAAACTTGTCTAAGAAATATCAAGTTCAAATTGCAAAAGAGAGTTGAAAATAGGAGTTCCTTAATAGCTTCTTGCTCAAATACCCTGTAAATTAAAAATCAATAAATTGTTTTTGATTTGCTAATGTCTTAAAAATGCACAAAGTAATATCAATTAAAAACTGCATGCAACATCCTGGTCACTTCACTATAACCAGTGTTAAGTTTCTTAAAACACATTCAATTAGTGTGGAATATGAGTTAAGCTAAACAGTAGGTTGCAATGTAGCTAGGACTGTGGTGAAATAACAGACAACGAAGAGAATGCTCTACTAGGATTACAGTATTTCAGTCATGTATTAATATGCGTATCACTTCCAGAGATTAAATTACTTCAAATATGAACCATCTTGGTAAATGATTTTGGGTTTATATCTCAGAAAATAAGAAGTTAAGAGAAAAATCACAAAATAAACAGCATTAATATGCCTTGTTTCTGTTATAGAGGGGCTTGTTCCAAAGAACAGGTTAGCTCACGCTAATGAAAATCTTCACCAATGAGGACTATACTAAGCAAGTTTATTACTCAGTATTTTAATAGTAACACCTGTTAGAAAAATTAAGTAGTTATCTTTGCATCTCAACTCACTTTTTATTTCATTTTTCTTCCTATGACAACTATCTACTTTCCCGATATAATAGGAAAAGACAGTGAATTCCTCAGATGGAGCTTTTGGGGCTTACAGGGGGAAAATATTGGGAGGCAGTTTCAAGAGTGGCATACCTGGCTGAGCACAGTGGCTCACACCTGTAATCTCAGCAGAGACTACATTAAGAGACCTGAAAACTGCTTGAGGCCAGGAGTTTGAGATCAGCCTAAACAACATAGGGAGACCCTATCGGTATAAAAGATACAAAAATTAACAAGGTATGGTGGCATGCACCATGCCAGCTATTTCAGCTACTCAGGAGGCTGAGTCGGGAGGATCCCTTGAGCCCAGGAGGTTGAGGCTGTAGTGTGCTATGATCCCACCACTGCACTTCAGCCTGAGTGAAACAGTGAGACCCTGTCTCAAAAAAAAAAAAAAAAAAAAAAAAAAAAAAAGGTGGCATACTGGTCTATCCTTTAAATTAAAATGATGGCATACCTGTCTACATTTTTAACAAAAAACAAAAGTTCTTCTGGTATCCAGAAATAACTTCACATTAACATATTAGATAGACCCAAATAGACTTAACAGTTCAGACCTAAGTGTTGTTTTTTTTTTTTTTTTTTTTTTTTTTTTACAGAGACTGCTGCTACATATGACATGGTCACTACAGCCAATTAAAAGAGCCCTAAAGAAATTCCTTTCCTGTTTAGTGAAGGTGAATTTAGTATGACCTAACCCTGCTGAATCCTCTATAACCTGTTTCAATCCTAGAGTGAAAACACTAAGTATTATTCTAAAATGCCCCAGGGTTTTGAGATTTTCAATAAATCTGGTTGTTCCTGACTTCTATACCCCTTATGTGACAAAATTCTGCTTTCTTTTTCTTAACCCTCCTCTTCGTTCCTATTTTCCCAATTCTGTCTGCCAAAAGAATAGACATTTTAGCTGCCTATTTGGACCAGGTGTACAAAATGCTACAAAAGATAATTTTATCTCTATCATACTGGGATATCAAGAAACTTTCCCTAATGGTACATTTGCTTCTGTATGTTTTTTAAAAGAGCAGCCATGTTTAATACTGTGAAATATGATCTGTCTCCTCCTCTGCCCACCCTCTAAAGCAGTGATAAATTTCAGAGCATGCTCAGCAGAATTGGATTATATTATGCACGGTATACATGTTCATCACCAAAACTGTACTGCCTAGAATGTATGCAAGAAGAATGAATTGCTGAGACTTCAAAATCCCAGTTCCATAGAACTGATTTTATTAGCCAATACATACCAAAGATGGATGATAAAAGAAGTATTATTTTTGTAGTTTTCTTTCATAATGGAAGCCTTATGCTATTACAGACTGCAGTTTTCCAGTCTTTTGATTAAGCCTTGCCAGTTGTATGCCGCTGCAGCACCAAGGAAACTGTTTTACAACCTGTCACCTCCTCCGGCAGGCAGCCATCCTGGTCTCGGAGAGTGGGGTCAGCACCACACTGGAGCAGCAGCTCTACAATATCCAGAAACTCACACGCAGAGGCTGAAAGGAAAATTGACAAATATGAAAACAAATTTACCACAAGACAGAGAAACTCCTTCACATCAGCAGGAAAGGAAAGTGCTGAGCAATAAGGAATACTGAACAGTGAACAATGTTACAGTGGCTGAAGGATGATCAGACCTGGTAAATGAGAACTGTGCTATTACGCTGGCTTTTCAAGCCTTAGGAAAAATAAAATTTACCTTTTGGTTGCCTAGAAACACACACACAAACAAATATATATTCCTAATTATGAGGCTTTTGGGCTCTAGTCTTTAAGAATTGGATTAAGGAGTCTGGGCGCAGTGGCTCACACCTGTAATCCCAGCACTTTGGGAGGCCAAGGCGGGTGGATCACGAGGTCAAGAGATCGAGACCATCCTGGTCAACATGGTGAAACCCCGTCTCTACTAAAAATACAAAAAGTTGGCTGGGCATGGTGGTGTGTGCCTATAATCCCAGCTACTCAGGAGGCTGAGGCAGGAGAATTGCCTGAACCCAGGAGGCGGAGGTTGCAGTGAGCCGAGATTGTGCCATTGCACTCCAGCCTGGGTAACAAGCGAAACTCCGTCTCAAAAAAAAAAAAAGAATGGGATTAAGGAAAAGAATAAAAAATAGTGTTTAAGTATCTATTTTATTTTGATCTTCATTTCAGAATAATGATAGGTGTGCAGGATACGTCGAAAGACTAAAAATACTGTAAATGTCAAAATGTTTTGTTTTTAAAGAGGGGAGTAAGTGGGTAACTGAACTTTACAATTTATAAATTAAAAAAAAAAAAAAAGGCATCAATGGGTGTTACTGATAAGTCCAAGGTATAGGAAGGGGAAAAAGGGGCATAGAGATACCAAGATTTATAAATATGGTAAAGTATTGCCTCAAAATGGACAAACAGACCAGAAGCTTAGAGCTAAGAGTGTGATCTATTCTTCTGCACACATATGAAAACTTAATTCATGACAAAGTTGGCAGATCAGTGGGGAAATAAAGATCCAGTGATTAGATGGTGTTGAGACAACTATACTCACTAAAGGCAAAAAGAGGCACCAGATGAGACATTAATGGCAATAAACATAAAAAGATGAGCATTCCACATAATCAGGGAAATGAAAATTAAAACCAGGAGATATCATTTCATACCCACTAGAATGGTGAAAATTAACTTTGATAATTCCAAGCACTAAGAAGGACTGGAGCAGAGAAACTCCCTTTAGATGTCAGAATATACACTGGTGTTGCTACGTTAGACAAAACTATGGCATTACAGGTTAAACCTAAACACACAGATACCCTCCAACCCAGCTTCTAGTTATCTACTTTTGCATGCATTCTCCAAGAGGTATTTGCAAGGATGTAAACAGCAGCACTGTTCATAACAGACCCCAAATGTAAACAGCCTAAATGCTCATTAACGGTAACATGTAAATAAAGTATCCTTCATTTATACAATAAAATCCTATAGAACACTGAAAACTAATGAACTATAGCTTCACAAAGCATGGGTTTACCTCCAAAACATAATGTTGAAGGGTAAAAAACAAGTGAGAATAATACATATTATATGATTTCACTTAAACAAAATTTTGAAAACAGGTAAAACTAAAGAATATTGTTCAGACATACAAATATGTACTGCAACTATGAAGTAAATCATTAATATAAAATCTAGAGCTCTCTAAAAGATTACCACTAGGGAGGACCGTATGATTCGAGAGATATGCACAGGAGGCTTCAGCGATAATGGTGATATTCTATTTCTTAAGCTAAGTAGTGGTGAATTTTTAAAAAGCTATATTTAAATTCTTCATATATATATATTTTATATACCCTTTTGTAGCATGATTATCACACAACAAAGTGTGTTGTCTTTTGTTTGTTTTAAGAGAAAGAAAGGGTATGCAGCTGAATTCCATGCCCCCCCCGCCCCCCTTTTTTTTTCAGACAGGGTCTGGCTCCGTCTCCCAACCTGGTGCAGTGGCGAGATCATGGCTCACTGCAGCCTTGACCTTCTGGACTCAAGCAATCCTCCCACCCCAGTTTCCTGAGTAGTTATAACCATGGGTGTGTGCCACTATGCATGACTCTCACTTTGGGAGTCTCACTCTGTTGCTCAGGCTGGTCTCAAACTATTAGGCTTAGGCAATCCTCCTGCCTTGGCCTCCCAAAGTGCTGGGATTACAGGCATGCACCTCTGCAGCTGGCCCTATAGCCATTTTATTGAGCACATACTGTACCAGTCCCAGCAGGAACACAGGTAAGATTCCTGTTCTTGAGAACGTACTGTAAATATGTAAATAACCAATTCTAACACAAAAGAATGAACAAGTACTGTGGCAGAAACACGTACACTGCAAAGGCAGGGTGGAAGAAGGAGACTGAGGGATCAGGAAACACTACAAATTGGTAGTAAGATGTAAGATAAGCTCTGAAGGATCGAGCACAATTCCTGAGAAGGAAAGGTACTGCAGAATGCAAAAATACCACTAGCAGAAGCATGACAGGGAACTGCTGGGAGAACTGTCTGCTGGCTCAGGGAAGCAATACAAAGAGTTGAAAGTAGAGAGGCTAGACTGAAGTCAAATTACTAGGGCCTTGAATCTCTCACACTAAGAAGTTTGGGTTTTGTCAAGTGATCCACAGGCATTTATGAGGAGTGGAGTGGCACAATTTGGCAAACACTCATCTGATTTCTGTCCCTATAGTTTTCTTTTCTAGAAATAGAAATCATAGAGCATATAGTCTTTTGTATCTGATCTCTTTCACTTAGCATGTTGCCTTTGAGATCCATCCACATTGCCTCAATTATCAGTAGTTTTTTCCTTTTGATTGCTGAGTAGTATTCCATTATATGGATGTGTGCAGTCATCTGGGCTGCTCCAATTTTTGGCATTAAATAGGGGCCTTATGAACACTTGGGTAAAGGTCATTGTGTGGTCCTGTTAAATATCTAGGAGAATTGCTGAGTCATATGGCAAGTGAATGTTTAATTTTATAAGAAACTGCCAAACTTTCCTAAAGTTTGCACTCCCACCAATAAGTATGAATTCCAGTTGCTTTGCATCCTTGCCAGCACTTTCCTATTATTAAAAATATTTTTTAGCCATTCTAGTTAGGGGCCTTTCATGTGATTTCTTATCTGTACTTCCCTAATGTCTAACAATGAACATTTTTCACGTGCTTACTTGCCAACTATTTATCTTTGGTAATTTATCTGTTCAAATCTTTTGCTCATTTATTAATAAGGTTGTCATTTTTTCTTTTTTTTTTTTTTTTTGAGATGGAGTCTTGCTTTGCTGCCAGGCTGCAATGCAGTGGTGCGATCTTGGCTCACTGCAACCTCCGCCTCCTGGATTCCAGTGATGCCCCTGCCTCAACCTACTGAGTAGCTAGGACCACAGGTGTGCACCACCACGCCTAGCTAATTTTTTTTTTTTTTTTTTTTTTTGTATTTTAGTAGAGACAGGGTTTTACCATGTTGGCCAGGATGGTCTCGATCTCCTGACCTCATGATCTGCCCGTCCTGGCCTCCCAAAGTGTTGGGATTACAGGCATGAGCCACTGCACCTGGCCAGTTGTCATTTTCTTATAAGAAGTCTTTATATGTTGTGGATACAAAATTTTGTTCCCAAATATGTTTTATAAATATTTTCTCCCAGTATGTGATTTGTCATTTTTCTCAAGCGCGTCTTAAAGAGAAGATTTGAATTTTGATAAAGTGCAATTTCTTTCTTTTATAGTTTGCGCTTTTTGTGTTCCATCTAAAAAAAAAAAAAAAAACCTTTGCTTACACCAAGATCACAAAGATATTCTTCTAGTTCTTTATCATTATTCCTCTTACATATAGGTCTAAGATCTTACCTTCCCAGCTAATTTTTGAGTAGGGTTCAGGCTCACCTTTTGTTTTATTTTGCATGTGGATGTCTGTTACAGCTCTACATGTTGAAAAGGCTATCCTTCTCTCCACTGAATTTCATCTTGACATTTTTGTTAAAAATCAGCTGACCATTTGTGATTGGATCTCTTTCTAGGTTATCTATCACATTCCTTTGATCTATATACCTGTTCTTATACCAATACAACATTGCCTTGATTTCTGTGGCTTCACAGTAAGTCCTGAAACCCGTGCGGGGCCTACGACTGTGCTCTCTTCCAAGGGTGTTCTGCATATTCTCGGTCCTTTGCTTTTCCATATAAATTTTAGAATCAAATTATAAGTTTTTACAAAAATCCTGCTGGAATTCCAATTGAGACCCCACTGAATCTATGGATCAGTTTGGAAGAATGGACAGCTTAACAATGTTGAGTCTTCTGATTAACAAAAAATTGCATCTGTCTCCATTTACTTCGATTTTTCTTAATTTTGATCATAATATTTAGGAATTCTATGCACACAAATCTTACACTTATTTTGTTTGATATATCCCTAAGAATTTCACATTTTTGAGGCTTCTGCAAATAATGTCTTTTAAAATTTCAGTATTCAATTGGTCCACTGCAAGCATAAAGAAAAACAAGATTTGTATACCAGCCTTGGTGTTTTTGCATTTTAATTTTCAACTGTTCATTACTAGTATATAGGAATACTCTTCATTTCTGTATAGTGATTTTTTACCCTGTGAACTTGCTGAACTCACTTATTCTAGTTTTTAAAAATCGATTATTGTGGTCTTATACACAGATGGACATATCACCTATGAAAAAAGAAAGCTTTATTTCTTCTTTTTAAATCTACATGGCTTTCATTTCTTTTCCTTGCCTTAATGCACTGGCTAGAACTTTCAATATAATGCTGGATCAAAGTGGAGAGAGTGGATATCTTTGTCTTGTTCAGTCTCAGAGGAAAGCATTCAGCCTTTCATGAAGGATGATACTAACTGTCGATTTTCTCAGGCTAAGGAAATTTCCTACTATTTCCCATTTCTACTTTACTAAGAATTTTTGTTGTTGTTGTTTTAATCATGAAGGAAAGCTGAATTTTCTAAGCTTTTTCTACAGACATT